TTTTTGGAAGTGAAAAAGAAAGTCATTTATAATTTACAGTGAAAAACCATAAATTGACACTCCCAGAATTCCCTGCATGACGCTTCATATTTTATGTTTTTTGTTGAAATAAAATGTTTCTTCTTAGTTTTTTCTTATCAGTTGTGTACATTAGGGTTTTATCTTACATCTACTGTTAAATTAATGTTAATTGCTTTATTTCAGCATCATGTGTGTTACCATGATGGTGTTTAGTGTTTGTGTGAATGACACTGTGCACCGTCTATATATATAGCCTATTATTATTTCCCTTCTCAGCTTGTGGAAGAGCTGTTTGTGATGAGCTTTGATTCATCATGCGACTTTCTCATCACCACCTGTTTTTGGTGGTTATCAGTATTACAATGGTTCAAAACAGATATTAGGTACTTCAATATGCTGGTTTATTAACATTACATCAATTAATGAAATACGTTTTTTTAATTGTGAATTTAAGTTAATTCTGTAAAACCTAAAATGTTTCTACCATATTTTTAACGGTGAAGTTCTGGCAACCACAGTTGCCGGTATTTTACCGTAAATGTCACAGATTTTTTTTTTTTACAGTGTACGGTTGTCTCTAACAGTCCGAGAGCTGTTATCAGTAAAAATTTGAGTAAAAAGTTGATTTTAAAAATGCACATGAATTTTAGAATTTCCTGATGATCATGTTCTCAATTGTGCAAAATGCATCTTGTGCTTCAATCAAAGCAAGAAAATCTGACAGTTTGCATGATCAATAACACTACTTAACTATTTAATTAATACACTTAGAAATACTGCAGAATGTTAAATATTTAACATATTTTACATAACATTATGTTTAAAAGGTGTTATTTATAAGTTTAAGTTAGATTTTGAATCCCAGATTGTCAATAGTACATGTTTTCTAGGACTCCTCCACTGTAAGTCTGGGGGATTTTAGTTTGCCTGTTTTATCGCTTGCCAAGTAATGATCAATAATCTGGTTCTTTAGAAAAATAATAACACACCTCCCTTTAACAAGTCACATGATTTGTAGAAACTGTACGAAGAGTTGTGCCAAAGATTAATACTTAGGAATAAAGTTTTGTTCGGATTCTTGGTAACCAAACGTTTTGGTTACCATTGACTTCCATTGTATGGTCAACAAAACGGAGACATTTCTCAAGATATCTTGTTTCATATTTCTATGGAACAAAGAAACTCTTACAGGTTTGGAACGACATGAAGGTGAGTAAATGACAGAATTTTGATTTTTGGGTGAACTATCCCTTTAACCTCAAATATTCGCAATAGTAATAGTGCTGCTTGCTTTAGCAAACACAAATAATGACAGAAACGACAAAAACTTGAACATATGAATGCAGTACAAAAAGACACAATACACAGGAAATTAACACTCTAAAAATATCAAGTCAAGTCATCTGGGACAAAAAAATAAAATAAAATAAAATCCCTTCCTCCTTTTAAAGTCCGCACATTTGAGGAACGTGGGACTTCTGGGAAATTATTCTTCAGTGTTTTATTAGTGAGTCACTTATATAAGGCCATAAGGGACAGCAGAGGGGATCGATTTCAGACTGAATTATGTGTGTGGTTACTGAGTAACAGGGCAAAAAATATTTCCAAACAACAGAGGTACTGTCAGCGAGTGTCCCAGGACGTCAATTCCCTAAAGGCATACCATTACATTTGACATGAAAGGCTTCCTTTATGCCCGTTCCCAACTTATTGTTCACTCAAGTACTGAGAAACATACTCTCTGATGCATTTGGAGAAGGTCAGACACTCAACACATAAAGCAACACAGTCGAAACCCAGTTAGCGAGACGCTAACTCGAGCGCGGTGTCAGTGTGCTGTTGTGTCATTGGGTTGGGCTGCAGAGACTGAGAAAATGGGCCAAATTACTCCGGTGTTGAAATGTGATGACTCAAGTCTCTCCGTTCTCATTTCCAAAGGGAATGATGGGCATTCCTAAAGCTGTCTAACAGTAATCTTATAAAAGAGGGATCTATTCGTTAGCTTCAGTTAATTGCTCTGCGGTTTCACATGGTGTGTTCTGACAGTTCACTAAAAATGGAAATATGGTTTCAGCTTTTAGGCTCCTTAACTTCAAATTAAAAGGATAGCTCACCCAAAATATATGATTCCATTTTATTGCTATATAGATTATTTTGAACATACATATTTGACCATATATATTATGTCTATGGTGTACACCGAAAAAAAATAAAAAATTACGTTGGATTACTTTGAAACTATTTTCACTCAGAAATTGCTAGTAAATTTTGCAAATACTTAGAAACATCAAGTAACACTGAATTAAATGTGAATTTTTTTTTAAGTAGAAAGACTAAAATGGCATTTTCTTGTGAAACGTACTCCAATAATCTTTCTTTTATTTACAGAAAAAAAAATACATTATCTAGTTTTACTATGAAAAAAATTTAAAATTCGGAAATCATTTATTTACTCCAATCAACAACCGACGCACAGAATCAAGTCCATGGCCTACTTTTTTTTTTCTTCTTCGATAAACCGCTTCACTCACATGCAAGTCACAAGTTGTGGAAAAAAAAATCTATAACTTGACTTTAATGTGCATGTGCATTATATGAAGCAGCTTGAAAAACACTAAAGCAAAATTTATGATACTATTTTATTTCTGATTTGCATTTACATTTATTTATTTAGCAGACACTTTTATCCAAAGCTACTTACAATATTTGGCTTGTTATTGCAACATAGGCTTAGCCAACATTATTGAAGATTTTAGTATTTTGCCTATTCGAGAAGATCCACTACAAACTGTACTTGCTTGTCTATTATCAGAGCACAAACTGGTAAAAGCACTTGCACACAGTCAATCTCTTTGATGGACAGAAATGTGTATATGTGTTTTGGGGGTGTGGTTGGAGCAAGATAAGCAAAATTTGAAAGTAATTCGTATTGGTCAATACGTAGACGCACATTAGAGCTGCATTAACAATTCTCACATTTTGGTTGCATGACAGAGTGTAACTTTTTGCATTCTTAAAAATGTAAAAATTAATTCAATGTATTATTTATCATTTATTTGTGATATTTACTAGCAATTTCTGAGTGAAAATGGTTTCAAAGTAAGTCCTACACCAATTTTTTTCATAGTATACTTGTGATGCAACACCCCCACCGAAATAATTTGCTTCACAGTGATTGATCTTGTGTAATCTTTAGTGTGTATGTGCTCTAACACCACAACCAGGATGGTCAAGACCTAAAGACTCCATACAGGACAGTTAGTCACCTAAACCAGTGTTTGATGAGCTCAGGGTTATGAGACCCAGCAGGAATCCCACACTGTAAAAAATGACCGTGAATTTAATGGTAAAAGACTGTAAAAATGCTACAGTAAAAACCTGTTAAATGGTTAACGGTAAATTCCCCTACTATATACGGTGAAAAACTATATTGGACATTACATGTATTGGACATAAATTTTACGGTAGTATACAGTTTTTGGAAATGAAAAGACGGTATAATTTACAGTGAATTACCGTAAATTGACATTCCCAGAATTCTTAATTTTTGAGTTTACATCTTGCAATTCTGATGTTGTTGTTTTTTTCTCAAAATTGCAAGTTTATCTCATAATTCAGTTGTTTATCTTGAAACTCTCAGCTTACATCTGGCAGTTCTGATTTGTTCACATGGATGAAAAGCAATTGAAGCAAACTTCTAGTTCTAATAAAGTCTCAACTGCAAGATGCAAATTCAGACTCAAAATTGCAAGATATAAACTTAGAATTGCAAGAATTGCTAATTTTGTCCATAGTGGAAATGGGCTTCAATAGCTAACAACACAATACTTTAATGTACTTAATACAATACAAGCTCAAGAAATGTATAGTACCAGACATATTAAGAAAAATAGTAAAAAGTATCTTTTTTATCTATGCTCGGCTGTATATAAAATACTTATAACCAACATTTCCCCTCTGTCATCTTGTTTTTTTTTTTTTCAGTGGATTCTGGGATTGCCGCCTTCTGGATTTCGGACCATAAGGGACAGCAGAGGGGATCGATTTCAGACTGAATTATGTGTGTGGTTACTGAGTAACAGGGCAAAAAATATTTCCAAACAACAGAGGTACTGTCAGCGAGTGTCCCAGGACGTCAATTCCCTAAAGGCATACCATTACATTTGACATGAAAGGCTTCCTTTATGCCCGTTCCCAACTTATTGTTCACTCAAGTACTGAGAAACATACTCTCTGATGCATTTGGAGAAGGTCAGACACTCAACACATAAAGCAACACAGTCGAAACAGTTAGCGAGACGCTAACTCGAGCGCGGTGTCAGTGTGCGTTGTGTCATTGGGTTGGGCTGCAGAGACTGAGAAAAGGGGCCAAATTACTCCGGTGTTGAAATGTGATGACTCAAGTCTCTCCGTTCTCATTTCCAAAGGGAATGATGGGCATTCCTAAAGCTGTCTAACAGTAATCTTATAAAAGAGGGATCTATTCGTTAGCTTCAGTTAATTCAGTGTATTACAAAGGTACAAAACAGATTTCAGTACTTCAATAGGTTGGTATATTAACTTTATATCAGTTAATTAAATTACGGTATTTAACTGTAAATTTAAGTTTAAAAACGTTGCTACCGTATTTTTGACAGTAAAATTCCGGCAACCACAGCTGCCGTTTTTTTACCGTAAATTTTACAGATTTTTTTTTACAGTGCACTGTTGTCTGAAAGCATAGCATGATCTCCACATCTCCATTTCAGGAAGTGCAGGTCTGTTCGAGGTGTTGTGATGTCAGGCTAAAACTGGTCATTCAGAAATAGCTCATTACCAAACACTAACACTGCCAGACCAGCCTAGAGTCTGTGACGACGAGGGCAAAACATGTATCCTATTAACCTGAAAATCACCTAAAATCCTCTTTATTTAGCAACAAAGAGCAAAGCCGTTTTCATTTTCAACTCAACAAGAACATCTTGTAAAACTGAAAAGTTACTCAGTACACCATGTCCTTATTTGTTCACTTTTCAAAAATCCTTCAGTGATGTGGCTCTTTGGATATCTGCGTCTTTTCACGCACGGTCCATTCTGGAAGTCCAGTAAGGCCTATCACGTTATTCGTCCACCAGAAAGTTGATGAGGGCCGTTCTGGGCGAGAGGATGGCCTTCTTAATGACCCGCTCAGAGAGCAGACGGGCACCCAGAGGGCTGTTCAGCACTAGCTCCTGAACCTTCTGTGCGTCCTGAGCCACTTCACGAGGTACAGATACACTCCCACACGCCTTATTATTGATCTGAGGACAAAACAGAGAGAATACTGATGCCATCTGAAAAACTAAAGATTAAACGAGCGGTCTTAGATTTTATACATTATTTCAAGCCAAAAAAAGGTCAAGCCTGGTAAAAGTCTGATTCATGCAAACGATGAAAAAACTAGATGGACATTTTCTGAAGATAACAAGTAGTTAATGGCACAAAATTAGTTTGTTCTCCCAAATATTAGCCCTTCATTGTAAGTCTAGGGATTCTTTTTTAATTATTTTTGCCCATTTGATTGCCCGACAGGCAAAACTCATTTTGTGGGAAGTTGAGAGTTGTTTTCTTACTGGCCCAACTCTCAAAGAGTTCTTCATGGAGAAGACAATCCCAGAATTCATTGCAAGGAAATTTTAATTAAGATGGAAACAGTTGGGCACGGACAGATGGAAAATGTTGGTGATAAATGTATTTTATATACTGCAAAGTATAGATAAAATTAAAGAAAAATCTATTTTACCTGTGCGCTATGAGCTCAAAGTCTGTATTCTGCTCTCCAGCTGTTTGTTTGTTTATTTAACACCATTAACAATATAAAAAAATTAAATCTTGACTGAGACAACATTTTAGATTTTTTCCCCAATGCCTATTTTTTTTAAAGAAATAAACACTTTTATTCAGCAAGGATGTATTAAATTGATGAAAAGTGACAAACATTTATAATTCCTTATAACTGTTTTCAATATTGATAATAATAATAATAATAATATAATCAGAAATATTAGAATGATTTCTGAAAGATCATGTGACACTGAAAACCAAAATAATCACTTCTGATCTCGCAGGAATAAATTACATTTCACAATATATTGAAATAGAAAAGTGTTGTTTTTTTTTACATAGTAATAATATTTCACAATATCACACTATATTTCAAATAAATTTAGCCTTGATGAGCAATAGATACTTAAAAACATTAAAAAAAAAAAATCATACGGACCCCAAACATTTGAACAGTAGCTATAATGCGCGCACACACACACACACACACACACACACACGCATTATCATATGTATAAAATGAATGACAACATTTTAACAATGTGTAAGTATGAATTATAAAGCAATGAGTCTCTTTATTCATAATAGAAAATAGTAGTGCAATGGTGAGGAAGAAGATGGGGCAAAAAGAAAAGGATACAGAGGAAAATCTCAAGGCTTTGCAAAAGTGACACTCTGTCAACACAACAAAAATTTAAGAAAAGTGCTTTCAGAAATCAATTTGCTTTATTCCTGCCTGGTTTAAAACAACCTCAAAATGTCAAAATTCTCCGTCAGAGCTTTCTCTAGTGTGTAAGCATCTTTGCGCACAGAAGTTCTTCTACAATCATGCTGGAGGACAAATAATGGTTTTGATAAATGGTTTTCCTCTAGATCAGCAGTAGTGTTCGTTTTTGAAGCTGAGATACTGAGTGCTTGTGCCGTGTCTTGGGATGACTAAACAAACCCTTTGAGGGTGGATACCTTGCTTTAGCATCTGTTGTTAGCATTGTGTGTGGGTTTGTGTGAAACTAAAGCTGGTCTTCTGGTGCATCTGCTCCTCAGTGTGTCTGTGGTGAAATGAAACGCACTCAGACAGCTGGACTGCATCATGGGAGAACATCATCCCTGTTATTATGACTCCCAAAGTAGTTCAGCCACCCGCACAAAGCAGGGGATTCCCTAAAATACTGGCAGGCTGGTGCAAAGAGCGGGTGTAGCAAAGCCTTCTGGGTAGTACTTTTTCAAGCGAGTATGCAGTGAAATATCATGCTCATTTTTTTCCTTATTTGAAGGTGAAATTCATGATTTTATCCTTCTTCTTAACTGTTATGGTCGCTACATCTTTATCCCTTGTTGCCAAATAATGAGTACTGTGTGTGTGTCAAAAAATGTGGGTGAATATTGTTTCTGTGGACTTTCACAAATTGTTTGGTTGAAAAAAAACAAAACATGAAAATCTAATTTTTAATTTGATTTACAGTAGTTGAGCTAGTTGAGGTGAGTTTTGGCAATAAACATCAGGCAAGAGAAGATTCCACTATTCTAAACTTTTTACTCTCCCTCAAGTCATCCTTTGTCCATAGTGGAAATGGGCTTCAATAGCTAACAACACAATACTTTAATGTACTTAATACAATACAAGCTCAAGAAATTTATAGTACGAGACATATTAAGAAAAATAGTAAAAAGTATCTTTTTTATCTATACTTGGCTGTATATAAAATACTTATAACCAACATTTCCCATCTGTCATCTTGTTTTGTTTTTTTCAGTGGATTCTGGGATTGCCGCCTTCTGGATTTCGGACAAAACGAGATAGCTTAGAAGGCAGCATAAATATACCAATTTATACCAAGATTTTTAAACAATGACAGATGCATGAGGGCAAGTAGAGACACACACTTGACCAACTCCTTAAAAGACGGTCATGGAAAGAAGATTTCAGCCCCCAGATAGTTCAAGTCTGTAATAATCGTTCACTCGTCACGCCAAATTCAGAGGCCAATCCCTTCACACACGCACAAATTACAGAGAGCCTGTTCTGAAATACAGGCTTTTAAGTAGGAGGTAAGCACTTTCCCTTTGCCCTTTTCGCAGAGAACATCCTGTGCTGAATATTCTGCATACAAACATCCTGATGACACGGAAATATTGCAAATACACTGAGATACCGATTGTGTGTGTGTGTGTGTGTGTGTGTGTGTGTGTGTGTGTGTGTCATACCCGAACGGACAGCTGCAGTGTGTCGGGTGTTTGTAGGTACTCTCTGTGTGTGTGTGTGTGTGTGTATGTGTGTCTGTCA